TTCGGAAATCCTTCTCGACCGAGACTTGGATAGGTAACCAGTTGGCCTCGACGCAATGCTATTTATGCCAACTCAAGATGATGCGAGATCGGCTGATTCTACGGTGACAGTGTTGTTTATGCCAACTAAAGATATCACCGGTTGCCACCATAGTACTGTTTATGCCAACTGAAGATGTGTCAGCGAAAAAGAAAAGAAAAAATCTCAAGGTTGTTGAGAGAATTTGCGCAGGGCAGTTGTGTGTTGAATTGAAGGTCCTCTTTCCATTGTTTGTAGCTTGGTATTTATACGAACAAATGTTGTGTGGTGCAGCTTCACGCTAGTATTTGATTTCAACTCAAACTCACTAAATGAAAGCCCATCCTTTAGATACCATCATCGTCTGACTCAAATACCATCATCTTCTGACTGCTTCATTTATTCAAAACCCAAGTCTTCCTTCCAAAAAACCATGCCTTCAGAGACTCCTAGTCCAACTAGAGCTTAATTTCCATCACATTGATCCATGCACGGATAATAATAATCCCAAAAAGCACACTACGTAACCAAAACCACAACATCAAAAAGGTATGATAATTATCCCATCTGCATACATATTTATCTACTCCATTCACCATGACTTTTCAAACCTCGTTTAAATCACCACCTCAGGATGCTAATTTATGGCGCCTATACCAAAATATTTATCCACATCTATAATAATCAATTTGCAGCATACTATTCATCCAGATCAACTCGAATTATGCCACCGTGTTCCCAACTTGGAGATCTCCCATAATAAATTATTTAAAAGATAATTATGATAAAAATCATAACATTATCCTTTAATAATAACAAAATGATCTTTTACCCTTCCATACGACGGTTGATAAGTATGCTTACTCAACGGCCTCGATTACTCGGGCCGATGGTGCAAATTTGGGTCCAAACAAATTTAGACCATAAGACTAGTGGTTGTATGAGCCGTAATTTATGTTAATTATAATTTGGACGGATGAATATGTTGAATTAGAAACTTAAGAAAGCCGCTCCCTTACCCCTATTTTTGAGAGGCCGTAATATTTTTTTGGCTTAGGCTTCCAACTAACTTATTGGGTAAAAGACTGTTTACTACCTTCATGTTTCGTGGTTTTCAACATTTAGTACATCAAGTTTTTTTCGTCTCAGATTCATACATAAAGTGTAAATTTTGGGACAGTTTCATACATCCGTTAGTCAAACTGTTAAGTCTCCCATTAACTGTGACGTGGCGCACTGACTGGGTGCCACGTGTCATCCACGTTTTTTTTTTTCTTTTCTTCTTCCTTCTTCTTCTTCTTCTTCCTCCAACTGCAACTTTCTTTTTTTTTTCTTCCTCCTTCTCCTTCTTCCTTCCTCCTTCCTTCCCTTTCTTCCCCTTCTTCCTTCTTCTTCCTTCTCATTCTCCTTCTTCTTCCTCCGAATCTGGGGAAGCTTTCTTTTTTTTTTTTCTTCTTCTTCTTCTTCCTTCTCTTTCCTTCTTCTTCCTTCTTCTTCTTCTTCTTCTTCCGACGAATCTACCCAGATTCAGTTTTTTCTTTTTTTTTTCTTTTTTTTTCTTCTTTCTTCTTCTTCTCCCTTCTTCTTCTTCTTCTTCCTCCGAATCTGCCCAGATTCAGTTTTTTTTTTCTTCCTCCTTCTTCTCCTTCTTCCTTCCTCCTTCCTTCCCCTTCTTCTCCTTCTTCCTTCCCCTTCTTCGTTCTTCTTCTTCTTCTTCCTTCGAATCTGGGGGAAGATGAAGGTTTTTTTTTTTTTTTTTTTTTTGAGGAAGAAGAAGAAGAAGAAGAAGAAGAAGAAGGAAGAAGGGGAAGGAAGAAGGAGAAGGAAGAAGGAGAAGAAGGAGGAAGAAAAAAAAATAAAAAAAAGTTGCAGTTGGAGGAAGAAGAAGAAGAAGAAGAAGAAAGAAGAAAAAAAAAAAAACTTCCCCAGTCAGTGCGCCACGTCACAGTTAACGGGAGACTTAACAGTTTGACTAACGGATGTATGAGACTGTCCCAAAATTTACACTTTAGGTATGAATCTGAGACGAAAAAAACTTGATGTACTAAATGTTGAAAATCACAAAACATGAGGGTAGTAAATAGTCTTTTACCCAAACTAATTTTATGGCCTTGCCGACTTGCATGAGTTAAGCATACCGGCAACATTCATCCTTGGCAATAATTAAACTCCGAACTAAGTGCGAGACAATCCATTACATAAGGGGAGAGTCCACTCTTCGTAGAATTGATAAGCGACATCTTCCTCTCTTTTTTCAGGAATATGAATGCACCTAATTTGATACTCCATTGATAAAGACTGGAAATGTTATACTGTCAGTGTACCTCGTGGAACATATATATATATATATATATATGTGTGTGTGTGTGTGTGTGTATGTGTGAAGCATTTAAGGGAATATATTTTCATTTTTTTTTACAAAAATGAGAATTAGTTGTATGGTCCACACCGTATTGAACTTTAACGATCCGAACCATCTATTTTTCAAGTTACACCAAATCGGAAATATTTAAGACATCTAATTGGATTAAAAAAAATTAATGAATACTTTGTTATATAAGAAACAATGAAATTTTATCTTGATAATTAAATAGGCAAATAATTTTGGATTGAATTGAATTTTTGCAAGGATGATCTATGAATCGAGACTTACAAAATAAGCTATTCGGATAGTTGAAGTTCAATGTGAAGTGGGCCCTATATCTAATTTTTTTTTCTTAAAATGAGGATCCCTTTGCATAAATAAATATATATATAACAGATCGATGCCATTGACGTTGCAAAAGGAAAGGATCTTCTCCGGATTGCAAAAGGAAGTCACCAATCACTATGTTTGTCAGCTATTTGACTAACCAGAAAAAGTCCACAGAAAAACATTTTTATGAACTCTACACGCATTACTCCGGGTTGAGTTTGATTCTAGAAAACCACAGTATTCATGCAAAAGAAAGATATATTCAACTGAATTTTTGAATTAGATGGCATTAATTTAAAAACCAATTGGCAGTGAGTGTAGATACTATTTTGATATTATATTAAAACTCAACTAATGAACTCGAAATCAATTAATCATGGATAAAAAAAATTCTGAAATCATTTAAATTGTTAATGTAATTGGTCAAAAAGAAACTCTTCATTTTAGTGGGTTAGCATGTCTACATCGATCATAAGAGTCGCGTTTGCTTCTTCTTTTTTTTTTTTTGTTCCACCCAAGAGTGGAGGACAAGCTCCCATTTCACAATTCTAACTAACTTGTTTTCAAATATAGTCAGAACCAGTGTATGGAATTATGAAGACTAATTGTTTTCTACGTTTGAAGTTTTTGGTGCCTCATTGCCTCCCTTAAAAGAAATTGCACACATCACACGTGTGACCGTACTCATGCCACATGTAGAAATGAGCAAAATACTCACGGGTATGGATAACTGCAATTACCCATTCATTTAAAATTTATGATTACAGTTATCATTAACCGTTTAGATAAATAAACGGTTTTGTGTATAACCATTTAATCATGAACTTTGAATAGATGGTTATGGGTATTACCCTGGGTTATAAATGGGTAACCATTTAACTGTTTATTTTAATATATGAAAAAAAAAAACAATTCAAAATAAAAATCCTAAACCGTTTATTTTAATAAAAGAACTTTTATTAAAAGTGATTGTGAACATAAGTGCGTTTTGGAAAAGTTGTGGAAACTTAGTTATAGAAGCGAGTAACTGATCATTTGTGTTTTTAATTTTTCCAGCAAAAGTTCGAAAACTACATGTGTACACGAGAGGGACAGAGGCATGTGTGTTTTGATCCAAAACTTACCTGAGAAAAAGGAAGACAGGTACGAGGCAATCCACAACTCCAATCAATCTCACTTGTTACACTCTTGTGCTTTATGTATAGATACATGATATATCCATATATGTACACTATGGTCCCTCAACAATCCCTTCAAATTAACTTTACCAACTGATAAATGGGTAAACAGTAAGGAAAAAAAAGGGTAAAAAAAGGGCTGAACGGATAAACAATTACAGTTAAATGAGTACACGGTTATGAGTATGGTTAACCGTTTATAAACGGTTATGGGTATGAGTATGGTTAACCGTTTAACCCTAAACCCTAAACCACGTGGGTAAGAGCATAAATGGTTGTGGGTAAATAACCACAGTTACCTTCCTGCCATAACTGTTGCCCATTCCTAGCCATAGGTTGCAACCCAAAATACATCATCTCATCATCTACCCTTCATATTAAACCAACAAATTTTCTTTTTGGCTTATTTTTTGGTACATTTCTTCCATTTGAAACTCATATTTCACTATTTTGCACCACAAAACTCAATTGTCGCTTCACTTTGCTATTTTTTGTCAAATTTGTTAAATATATATATATATATATATATATATATATATATATATATATATAGGGATGTGCTATCCACACACCCTATTTTACTTCTCACACACCTCTTTGTAATTTCTGTCCATTGGTCTTTTTCAATTCATCCGATCCGACGGCCGAAAATTAAAAATATATGTGAGAAGTAAAATGGGGTGTGCAGATATCACACCTATATATATATATATATGTGTGTGTGTGTGTGTGTGTGTGTGTACACACTTTGACGTGTCCCCTGATATGGCTGCCAAATTACTTAAAAAGATAATCAATATTTACAAGTCAATGATGGGATGCGTTGGAATACAAGCTTAATATGTAATTGGTTTATGGAGGAGGAAGCAAGATTGATTTTGAATATCCCCTTGAGTTTATTTAATCCAGCGGATTTCATGATTTGGACTAAAGAGCCTAATGATGTATTTACGACTAAGAGTGCTTATTTTGTGGCACGAACATGTCATGGTCTTGGTTGGGATGAACCGGTTTGATCTACACTAAATGAGGAGACAAAATTTCTATGGAAAGCTCTGTGGCGTGCCAAGGTCCCGGGGAAAGTCAAAATATGTGTTTGGCATGGGTGTATGAATGCATTGCCAACGAAGGTGAATTTGAAGAATAGACGGGTTCTTACGGAGGATATATGTGGGCTCTGTGATAAAGAGCCAAAGCCAGTTAAACACACTTTGTTACAGTGCCCACGATTAGCTGCAATTTGGTTTGGTAGTCCATTGGGAATTTGTATGTTTCCGAGGATAGAGGAGGACTTTGGTGGATGGTTGATCAATATGGCAAAAACAGTAACTAAGGACAGTTTTGAGTTGCTTCTTGTGTTGGTGTGGAGCATTTGGAAGGTCAGTAACGAGTTTATTTGGAAAGGTGTGGATGCATCACCATTGGACGTGCAACTTAAATCCCAAACGTGGCCGACGGAATTCAAGAAATGGAATGAGGTTCAACCACACTCAGAAATGGATTGTGTTCAGAAGTGGACACATCCGGAATTTAGTTGGATAACGTGTAACTTTGATGCGGCTTGGGATGAGAATGGTTCGTATGGGGGTATAGGGATTGTCGTTTGAAACTCAACAGGAGGTTTCATGGCTGCAATGGTGTTATGGGAGACTGGTGTCAGCTCGGCCATGCATGCAGAGGCTATTGTTGCACGGGCAGCAGCTATTTTGCTTGGCATTGGCGTGAGGAACAAGTTCAGCTAGAAGGAGATGCTCTTATGGTGGTTGTTGCTATTCAGAATTCGGAAACAGCTTTACTTGGTCATTTTGGTCACTTGTTTGCTGATACACGGCAGATTCTTCAAGGGTTCAAGCAATGGAAGATTTTTTTCGGACCAAGAGAGACGAACAGATTGGCACATCGGCTTGCACGGTTGAGTCTAATGCTTGACCACTCAATTTCGTGGTTTGAAGGACCCCCTGATATTATTTTTGATTTCTTATTGGAGGATAGTCTTGATAGTTAAGTTGGTGCGGAACACTCTTTTTTCCTTCGATCGGGTTGAAAACCCCGGCAATATTTTTATTAAGGCCCACTGTTAGCACCCTATCCTCGATTATGTACGTATTTCTATAATTCAATGAATATCGTGCTTTCATCAAAAAAAATATAAAGGAAGGAGCCTCGGAGGTGAGCAGCCCCGCCATGGCGACAACAACTGCAGCATTACTGCGACATCCAGTGCCTTGCTTGGGCTTTAGAGCTCAACATATCCAAGTCCGAGTTTAAGCTTGAGGGCCAACAATACATGAAGAATGGGTTATAATATTTAGGCATCTTGCTCTTGGTTAGAGCACTTCCAGCCCAGCCAAATCCCCAAGGCGATGGGCGATGGGTTATAATATTTTTTTTATATTTTAATTAATTTTTATGATTTTTTATTTATGATTTTGTGCATTTTTAATTATTACTTTTTAATTATAACTGACGTCAGCCTTGCATCACATAGTTCAGGGGCTAGGCTAGTCGATTTTAGCCTAGGTGAGCAACTAGGCTCCCCCAGAGCCTAGTGGATTGGAAGGGGGTGGAGGAGTTTTGGGGGGAGGGAGGGGATTTGAGAGGGGTGGAAGTGCTCTTATGTTTCTTTTTTTTTCTTTTTCTTATGGGAGCTTTAATGAAAAGGGTTTGAGTTAAGTTTGTTTTAACAAAAAATCATCCTATAACATTATTTAATGAAAATGGTGTTATTGCTATGGTGAATTGTGTGTGTACAAAGAAAAGTAAGAAAACATGAACAAAACTAGGTTTTTTCAAAGGGAAGTGTTATTGGCACTCAAAAAATCTCATTCTACACTCCTCACAAATGTATTTTTCTTTCCTAATATAGAAAGTTTGGGATGTATAATGAGATTTTTGAAGTGCTAATAACAATTCCCTTTTCAAAACGCCTAATTTATTTTTAATTTCGAACAATAATAAAAGATTGGTTGAAAGTATTTGAAAATATTGAAATGTGGTGTAAGGTGGAAAAACATGGTTAGATATTTATAGAAAGAAAAAAAATTATTATTTTTTGTATTTTAATTATTTTTTATGATTTTTTATAATTTTTTGTATTTTTAATTATAGTTGACAACTGCCTTGCATCACATGGCTTTGGGGCTAGGCTAGTCCATTTTAGCCTAGGTGAGCAACTAGGCTCCCCCAGAGCCTAGTGGATTGGAAGGGGGTGGATAGTTTTGTGAGGAGGGAGGGGATTTGAGAGGGGTGGAAGTGCTCTAATGTTTCTTTTTTTTCTTTTTTTTTTGGAATCTTTAATGAAAAGGGTTTGAGCTAAGTTTGTTTTAACAAAAAATCATCCTATAACTTTATCTAATGAAAATGGTGATATTGCTATGGTGAATTGTGTGTGTACAAAGAAAAATAAGAAAACATGAACAAAACTAGGATTTTTCAAAACCCCTAATCGAGAACCATGCTACACCCAAAACAATTGCACCGAGCCACGCCTAAAGTCGTCACGCCGAGCCAAGCCCTGCAACCGACCAAGAAACAACATTATTTTGACATCCCACCGCATCAACCCACTTGGTTGGTCATGTTGCGCTTATGTGGCACAAACCCAAATTGGGCTTCAATTTTTTGTTTCAGCCAACATAACTGGCTTTAACCCAAACCATTAGCAACCCTCTAGCCTGTTGTCCACTACAGCCTGCACCCATCTTTTGTTGGTGTAACAACCTGAAATATCTAATTCGGAAGCCAAACACACAAGTAGGCCATAATAAAATAATGTTAATTATAATTCTAACTAACCACACTAAAAAAATAATCATTTTGTTGAATTTATGGCTGCATCTAACATCCTGGTTAGACTGCCTACGTTTCCAAAAAGAAGGGATCAAGCCATTCGTTGTTCACCTTACACTTCTAGAACAACATACTAAAATTTCATTTAGATCCAACAGTCGGATCTCCGCCAATCACGAAATCAAGTGGCGGTCAATGTTTTATTTTACAAAATTACAAATCTAATTCAGGAAGATCCATTCGCCAGATGCCTGATCCATAAGTTCCTAAGGTCCTCAAATATTACGTACGATAAGGTCTCAAGGTTTGATGACGATCCAACGGTCGGATCATCGATTCACAAATTAATCAAGTAAGGTATCGTAGTAAATTTAGGTTCAAACAATCAACCTACGTCATACGAATATCAAAACTGAAATCAAGGCATCTAATTTAACCTAAAAATAGCATTGACAGACCTCTGGCCACGCACCACCTTAGGTGGCAGTCAGCAGCCCCGACTCGCCGGAAAATTTCAACTATTCAAAAAAATTTCCAAATTTCATAGAAATGTAGAACAAGTCAAGGGGAACAAACTTTATACCTATGGCCAAGTCCAATTTGGCCAGGAAAAACCTTAAATCGCCATAAACCCGCTATAACCTTAGAATTTGGGTAGTTGTCGATTCGTCACCAAAATGAACTCCGACGCCTCATCCAAGGCTTAGGCCTTACTCCTGGGGTTGAGGGAAGTCTTTTGGTTGTGGAGATTGACGGTATTCGTTGATGGATTCACGAGAAAAAGCATAAACTCGCCAGGACACCCGTGGTTTTATGGCTTCGATTTGTGAATTTGGGTTAGAAACCTAGAAATCTAACACCACAAGGATGTTGGGCTTGATGAGAGCTTTCCATAGACATCGGAATCACCTCAAACGGAGGTCGGACGGACAAGTTAGGACAAGGTCAAGGAACAGGGTCGAATGGAGAAACCGGGTTGGCCGGTTTCCTCCTTCTCCCTTCCTTCCTTTCCCTCCTGCTCCTCCATCTGATTTGTCCTTCCCTCTTCCTTTTCTCTCCCGCATCCCACATTTCCTATCTTGCTGCCACCTGGCAGCGTTCAACCCCATTTTTTTTTCTGACAACGAAAACATCTCTAATTTCTTCGTTATAACTCCGTTTCACGAACGGTTTGCGCCTACACGTTCATAAGATTGAGCTCTATCCAAATATGTCAAGAAACATGACAAAATATATGAGGATAAAATACGTCCTCATAACATTACATTTAGCCACCTAGGGCATTTTAGTCATTTCACTTTCCGATAAAAAAATTCCACATAATCATATATTTTAAATTTTTTAGGGTATTACAATTAGGGTGCCTTCTTCACGGTCCACGCCCAAATTTGGGCTTCTTTTCTGCATGGCCTGTAGCCATCTAGCCCAAATATTTCATGAACCATTGCGTTTTCTTGCTTTCACTGCTGACAGTTGTTTAGGTTCGTCCAATTGAATTAATTTTACTGACTCGCAATCTATAAATCTGGAAAAAGTACTTTGGACCGCAGTCTATTGTTATAAATTGCTACTCACTATTTTATTATTTTTCTTAGAACTATTGACATCCTTTCTTAGTCCCAAAGCTACTCACCTTTACCCAAATTCACTACACTAGTTGAATATTGTATCTCGTGTTATTGCATGTACCCTGAACCGCAAATTCATTAAATTTGAACCTAATGTTTCGAATTAGTGCCTTTAAAACCCGAAGTTTTCATAAAACAATACACCCTTGTAAAACTGAAGCTTTTTATGCAATAAATCAAGCCATGTCTTAGGACCTAGATGTTCTAACTTGGATGCTTGTGGTGGTTTTTATTTCTTATAGAACTAATCGCAATTTTGTTCCCTTCATTCAGTGGATTGTCGAACTGTCACAAGTTCGATTTCACTGACATGGAAGTTTCTAAGAAAAACTACTTTATGTCGGTACAAGTCGTGAAGCTCCACTTGATATGAAAAGCAGAGAAACCATTTAACCTAACAATGGTGTGGAAATGCTGAATAATCCACCACCATGATCCTTGCATTCGAAGACTTATGCCTGAAGCATTACAAACGAAAGTACCTCACTAAAGAAGATTTCATGGGTATTTGACTCACTATAAGAACCTTTCAATAATAAAAGATGATTTATTGCCTACAACAAGACATTATCGAAACATTTATGTCCATGAATGGGTACAATTATGAAGTTTATAGAATCCAATCAAATTTTGACTGGAGAAGATTTTTTTCGTCCTTCCATGTCTCTAACTTGCTTCTTAAGCAGCAGTGCAAGGAGTGAAAGTTTATCAAATTCTCATATATGACTACTACCATGTTACTCAAAAGCACAATAGTTGGAGATTGGTACCTTAGTGATTCGGTTAGGAGGAACTGAACATTATAGACCCGGTTTTAGCTGGAGTCTATCAAATAATTACTATTTGCAACCATCATAATTACTTTGTTCAAAAGAAGGATGATGCGCATAGTTTTTCTTCTTGAAGAAAAGATCATGGCTACCTTCCAGATGCTTGCTTATGGGGCATCTACAAACGCGATTGATGAGATAACGAGGGTAGGAGAATCCACTGTTCTTGAAGCACGCGATAGGTTCTATAATGCAATTGAATATCTATACACCACAGAGTAACTTCGTCGACCCACACCAACGGACCTCAGAAGGCTTATTCAAAAAGTTGAGGGTTGAGGTTTTCCTAGCATGATTGGAAGTGTTAATTGCATGCATTGGCAGTGGAAAAATTGCCCAAGATCATGGCAAAGATGTGACAACCCGTCCCTACTTTTACAATTTTATTAATTTTAAAAAAGTGAATTGATGAAAATGCCTTAGAGGCAAGGGTATTGACTTTCGTTGACCAACGTATAGTGAGATGTTAGAAATATTCTTTTTAGCGTACTTTTG